TAAAATAAATACATAATTATAATAAAGGTCAATCAAATGGACCAATATGGCAAGGCCATGATGATCCACTTGGTAAAATAAATCCGCTTGGCCTTAAGATAACAATTCTGATAGCTAAAGATCCAAACGGGACACACACACACACACACAAAAAAGGATTTGGTATGTTCTTAACAGCGTTTGACTTTGTTTTTTGCGTTTACTTGTGGACAGAGATATTTTTTTCAATACTGCACATGTGGACAGGAATTTTTTGTAAATGAAAACACCCATGTATGTGTGGACTTTGCCATAATCTATTCTAGCTAAAACAGCCATTGTACCAATAGCCATAAGATAGAAACATAAACATCAATGCTGTCTGTGTAGGTGTCTGTTTTAATTTTGAAAAATGTTGAACTTTTCCTCACAGCTCACTGGTTTGACTCGTTGCTGTTGATTGGAGGATGCTAAGCTGTTGCTCAGTGTTTTCATTTTTCATTCTTTGGTTGTTGAATATTGACCTGTGCTCTCAGCGATGCTGTCTTCTGGCTCAACTGGGCCCGAAAAGCCTTACAGAGGAAAAAGTAAACAACAGGATCCACGCAGATGTTGAAAACTGACACTAAGGTAGCCACCTCCTTCAAGTAGTATAACACCTGACCAACAAAGCCCTTGCTGTGTAGAAAAGTAAAAGGAAGGCGAACCAGGTGATGGGGAACAAAACAAATACAAAAGATGCTGACCAGCACCAACATGTTCCTGCGAGACTTCAGGAGCTTCTCGCAGCCAGAGGAGGCCAGCTGCCTCTGCTGTACCAGCAACACCCTGCGGGAGATGCTGTAGTAGAAGAAGACCAGGGATATGAAGACCAACAGGAAGATGATAATGCAGCCAGCATGGAGTGTTTTGTGGAGCACACTGCCAAATTCACTAAAGAAGGCACTGCAGCAACCAGGACCTGCAGATACATGTGGCTTAGTGATCAAAAGCAGGATGTTGTAGATAACTGTGGGAGCCAGCAGAATCAACCATGTGATTAGGGAAATCTTGTGGGCTGCTTGTATTGTTTGGAGGAAGTGAGTCCTATAAGGATGGACAATCTTCAGATACCTGAGGAAAGAAGAGAAAGGAAGCAGTACTTCACTAAGCAGTAATAGTTCAGCAAAATCTACAAAAGTCATTGAGACTAAAAGACACCACCATTCTTTATTCAGGAGTGCAGGATTTGTAGTCGACCCATTAATATAGTTTTGAAATTGACATCAACTGCATACGGAAATCCTTACCTGTTAACAGCGATGTACCCCATGAATATGATGCTGGCGTACATGTTGAGGAAGATGGCAGAAGCTCCAAAGTTGCAGTAGAGTCTCTGAATGGGAACAGAGTTCCTGGCATAGTGGACGATACGGAGCGGTAGAAAGAGGCAGAGCAGGAAGTCAGCAGCTGTCAGGTTCTTCAGGTAGACCATTAAGCTACTAGATGCTTGCTGTTGAAAGTAAAACTTCATGATGAAGCAATTGAGAAGTAAACCCACCTAAGCAGGACATAGACAATGGAAGAAACATTACCTTGGTACATGCACTGTGATCCTTAAACCAAATTCTAACAGAGCATAATCTGAAGATTTGAAACTCACCAGAAAGACCATGCTGTAGACCAGTATAAAGAAAGTGCTGACTGATGTATCGATCATAACACAGGTCTGGTTTGAAGTGATGTTGTTTGAGTCGGCCATGTTTCTGAAGGTAAAAAAAAATACAAATTCAAAGTTAGCTTTATTGTCAAAGACCATATTTACAGTCATACACAGGAATTTGAAATTGCAATGCTCCCATGGCCCTCGGTGTACAGTAAAACAATAGAAAGATAAAAAGATTAAGATTAAATAGGAGTCTTAAATACATCACATTCATTAAAATACTTCATAATTTCGTAGTTTGTTTTGTTAAATCAGAGTTAAACCAATGTTATTGAATTCTGATAAATGCTAAAATCCACCATATTTGTCTTTTTAAACAGCACTTTCTCTTCTGGTGGAGTTTACTGACAGTTTACCTAAATTCAATCCAATGCACAGCAGTTATATTGTTTTTTACATGATCAACAAGCCATAAAGGCAAAATTAACGCAAATGCAAATACTGTATAGGAAATTGCTAGTGACACCATCTGTTATGCAAACTCTATTCGTGGAAAGGAAACAACATCAATCAAATGTAATTAAACATCTCAATAGTGGCAGCAGTCTTTTAATACGATTTGGTCAACCACTGCCTCCAGTGCTGGGTGCTTGGTGGAAACTGTGGGGCAAAGACAAAGGAAAAGCAGGGAGGACATATGTTAGGAGGCAGCAGGAGAGAAGGAAAGGCAGGAGTGAGGAGGTGAAAGTACAGACATTAAATATGGGGGTATTACTGGAGAGAGCTGGCTGTTATGATGGAGAGAAAAGGTTTTTATCATTTATACACAAGATTTGTGTATAAATGGTGTCGGCCAGCATCCTTTGAACAGGTGAGACTAAGTGTAAATGTGTGCCCATAATCTACAGCAGCACAGTTAGTAAAAAACAAACACAAATGTCAGCACTAACATCTTGTACCCATTACCAAGTACAACCATTTCTCTATAGTAATGCAAGACTCAAATAATCATACAGAAATGCTTGCTTGAAATTATTGCTGCTAGAAGTGGTTCTGTCAGCTATTAAATCACAGGGTGTACTGGCTGTAAACCCACTCTGTCTATTAATCACAATTTCAGTCTTCTACTTCTTCTTCTTTAGTCTCCAGTACTACTGTGAGAAACCTTAGAGTCACTTACGACCAGCAAAAGTCTTTTCATTTGAACAAACATATAGGACTGCCTTTTTTCATCCAATGAGAGTTCATGCACTTGCTACTTACAAGCAAACTTTCACACTGGGTTAAATCTCCATTCTTTACATTGAAAAGTGAGTAAACCTTGGAGATTTTACAAGGAAGTGTAAACACAAGTTACATCAAAATATTTATGTTGATGGTCAAAAAATAAATAAAGAGAATAGTGGATGTTGAGTATTTTTGTGTTATCCCAGATCCAAGTAATTCAGAAAGCAAGTCAAAAAAGTTCTTAAAATAAACCACAGCAGTCGCTCTTTGCTTTTGTGATCTCCATGGGAAATACCAAATATTCACTTTTCAGCTATCTTTAATGAACAACCCTGAAGTTGTTGATAGTATTGCACCTGCACTGTTAAAAGCAAAGCTTAAAGCTTTACTACTCAGATAACCTCACATACATTTTTTAGTCACAGCAGAAAAATGAAGTGGGATTATTATGGTATTGAATATCTAGCACTGGCTATAATGATGTGCCAATCACAGTTTGTCCATTATTAACCGCGTGTTTGAGCATAACGTTTTTCATCAGTGCAGCTGGCACAAAGACACCCAGGGTGAAGACACATCAGCCTTTTGAACAGTAGAAAGGACAGCTAAGTATTTTTGTTCCCTATGTAATGACTGATTCCAAATCTTCTTATTTATTTAGTTTTCTATTAGTAGAAATACAGCAGATTTGAGAATGAGAAACAAACAGGACTCTCCTCGGGTTAGAGGTCGTCTGTAAGCAGGAAAAGTTACGTTGGTTGTTCTCGGATGTAATGATGTCACTACAGATAAGAAAACACGTGGTTGCTGCACTTCTTCTTTGAACTCTGACTTATTTCCTGTTTGCTGCGACTGAAATGGCTACACAGAAAATGCAGACCCATCATGTGATTAAAGCTGCTATAAATAGTTTGCAATTACGCTGCTAAAAAAAAAGTTCAATCACAAAGTTGCCACAGGCCGCTTTTATCTCTTTATCTTTGCTGACTGATATTTCACTGTTTTTACTTTTTGCTAGTGTCCGTATCACTACAGCTTTCATGAGGCAGTACCTGCAGCTGATACAGGTTGTGTTTTCTTCATAGACACAAGCACACTCTCTTACAGTGTCTGTGGTGAAAAGGTTGGTTAACTACTCGGATAAATGCACATGCAGTATTTGTAAGAAAAGAGCTCTTATTTGAATGATATGACTGAATATAATGGTGTGGTAAAGATTTTTCATCATTGTACTTGGCTTAGTCAGTAACAGATTTATAAACGTATAATCAGATAAGCTTTTTGAAATTTGACGGAAGTTAGCTGAGTATTTTTGTTTCCTAAGTTTGGAGTAATGGTCTTATTCATTCATGCTTTTATCAGTAGAAATAAAAAATAAACGTGAGGGTGAGAAACTAACGGGACTCACCTCTGTTTCTGCAGCTTTCTGTGTGGACGAATAGTTGCTTTGGTTCTTCTAAGATGGAATGGTGTCAGTGTAAATCAGGAAACACACAACTGCTACACTTCTTGCTACACTACACTTGTTTCCTGTTTGTTACCACTGACTTATTGTTCTTTGGTTTTAGTGTCCTTATCACTACATCTAGCAGGAGACAGTACCTGCAGCCAATGTAGGTTGCATGTTCTCTTCACAAATAAGACCAGAAAAACCAGTGTCACGGATCCTGAGTGTTCATTAAGAATACAAGTATATGTTAAACTACGCCAGTCTCTGCCACAGGTTACAGTGTCACTCCGGACACTTTTGGGTTGGTCTCCCATGCTTATTATTCACTCCTTTGCCATTTGAAGTTTGGACATTCCTTCTTTCAAATCAAATCACTGTTATTGTCACATCACATGTGAGTGAAATTCTTGTGTGCAAGCTTCACAAGCCAAACGTGGTGTGCAAAATAGAAACATAAGAAACAAAACAAAATATAACAATAAAGATATGTACAAATATAAGAATGTATGCACATTACTAAATATAGATACCATGTATTTATACATATATACATTTGTGTTATAACATATACGGAAGTCAGCAGATAAATATTGTGCAAAAATGGCATTTATATACAATATGGAGTGCATAAAGTGTTGAAGTTTCGATAAGTGACAGTGATGTGTCTGTGAAGTGTTCAGCAGTCTGATGGCCTGATGGAAAAATCTGTCTCTCAGTCTGCTGGTTCAGGACCGAATACTGCAGAAGTAGTCTGAACAGTTTGTGACTGGAGTTCTTGATGATCCTCCCCGCTATCCTCAGGCACCGCTTCCTGTAGATTTCCTGGAAGGAAGCTCTCCTCCAATGATCCTTTCAGAGCACCACTCTCTGGAGAGTTTTGCGGTTGTAGGCGGTGCTGTTGCCTTACCAAGTTTTGCAGTAATTCTGGAAGAATTGCTGTCTTATCAACTTTCCTCTACATCTTTATTTATGAAATCAAACATCTGTAGTTATGCCAGTAGAGAAAAAATTAAAATAGAAAAATAGATTGAAGAAATGAGATTTTTCCTATAATCAAAAGAATTAAGACATTATCTATGTTTTCATTTGTATTATGTCATGTAACAGGTGAAAAGTTCATCTTAATACGTGTAAATGTTAATATATTTTTTCAGACATCCAAATTCAGATATCATGCTTTTGTATGAATTTGACCACAGGCTAGTTCAGTTTATTCATGTTAAATAAGATGTTGTGCTAAAAACTGAAAGCTAGTAACAGAAACCCTCGTGTTGTTTGTGTGGGAGTGTGAAAGTGTTCATTTCAGCCCCTTATTGATCAGTGAGCTCTGCAGAAACTGGAAATGTGGGCAAATTTTATATACCGTTAACTAGTTTGAGCTGCCCCTTGTTCTCATAGAGAAAATTCCCAGCCTCCATTGGGTCCAAAAAGCATTACAAAGGAAAAGCTAAACAAAAAGGCCAGATAGACATTGGAAACTACCACCATGGTGGTCAGACTTCAAAATCTTCTCAGTGCCATAGGAGGCCAGCAGCCTCTGCTGTGACAGTAACACTCCGTGGGAGGTCCTGTAGTACAAGAAGACCGACGATGTAAAGAACAACAGGGAGATGATGGTGTAACTGGTGTAGAGTGATTTGTGGTAAATAGAGAAGTTCATGGTTTGATCAGCAGCAAAGTAAAGCTGTTTTAATATTACCTTGAGCTGCCACATGAAAACATTAAAGGTTTTATACCTGTTGGAAGTGATGTACTCCATTAGGAGAAGCATGCATGCATAATGAGGGACAGGGAAGAAGCACCAAAGCTGCAGCAGAGCTTTGGAAAAATAAATGACTTGCTGACATAGTGGGTGATGCAGAGAAGTGCAGCTGTCAGGTTCTTCAGATAGACCTTTTAGTTGCTGGATGCTGCTGAGCTCGACAAAAGTAAAGTTTCATAATGAAGCTGTTCAGGGGTAAACATTAAGAGGACACAAAGCAGGATAAGCAAAGGAAATTAATAATTAGGATGTCTTGTAAATGCCTTCTAAGTGAGGTGGTTCAGGCCTTTACAAATGAGAGGAGGCGCCCAGACAGAACTCTGAAATGATGAGGAAATTATTGTGTACCCACCCAAGGATCAGATGGAATAAGGTAGCAGCTAAATCTGGTGCAAGGCATGTTTTCTCTGACACCGACAAAGTATAGATCTAAAATTTAAAAACTAAAATGTCCAACAGGGTCTAAAAAGCTAGATCCTCATATTCTACTGCCTCATGTTGGAGCCAGTTTTACACATTCTCGTGTACAAATCCCTTTGTGGTTATCGGCCCAGTAAAAATACTTTGCTTTCCTTTTCATTGTTTATTATATTGTCCGCTCATTCTGCACTCCTGTTTCCTTTACCCCCCCAACCAGTCATGGCA